CCAATGGTTCATTAGTTCGTGTTGAGCCGTGTTAAGGGACCTATAAGCAATTTTATATGCCTACAGATATAGGTAGACTATGCTTAATAGATAGAGTCTCCACTCCATCTAGCAGCCCTTCCCCTGGGGGCAGATGGAGGTGATCTTGCTGTAGCGCTCTGACGCTCTTGTTGTTGTTCTTTTTGTTTAAATTGTATCTTTCAGGCAGATCAGAGTTTTGAAGAGCCGCAGGATGACGGAGTTCTAGCTTAGTCGCCATCGCACGGTTTTAGCAGTTGAAGCTCCACTATATAGTTATGTTAATTGTTCAGATTTTAGAGTTGTAATCATTTTTGTAGAGGCAGAGTGTCTTAGTGAGATTTCATTTCAGTTGGGCTCATTTGTTGATATACTTCTTCTGTGCATATCTGATTTTGTACTACTATTATTATTTGCTTGTTTGTACCTTCACCTATTTGTTATTTCCACAAGAGAGATAGTGACTGTGATGGTGAAACATGTCGTAGCATGGTGTTTGGTGCTTGGCAGGTTTGACAATCCGGGTTTCACCTTGGACTATAGCCTTGTGTGAACCCTGGGGCGTCACACACACAATGTGTCGAGTCGTGGAGCTAGAATAGAGTTTCTTAGGATTCATGTATAGAGTCCGCTAAGAATTTCCTAGAATGAGTGAGGACGATATGTGTGTATTTCTCAAAATTTCGGAAATTTTTTTTATGACAATTATTTTATGTTGATTTAAAGTATTTGCGTGAATACTACATGTTATGAATAAGTATTGTGATACGTTATGTATATATATATATATTTGGGACCTCATTTACTGTGTCCATTAAGCTCCCCTCTTGATATTATAAATGTTGGGACGAGGAGGCGGTCGAGATAAAACTCACACCCAGAGAGCTAGGTAATCAGAGCCTGAGCCGCAGCAGGCTCTACAGTATCTGATCGACTTTATGGAACCATTTGCAGTAATGGAACTATTTGTAGTAAGCTTTTGTAATACTCGAGGAGCGAGAGGCACATCCGTTTTCGTCAGCAGTATCATTTTTTGGAGTTTCACCACCAATTGTACCAATCAGGCCTAATGAAGAGGCAATACCAATAATTTCATCATCACCGGAGAATGACAGCAAAGGATAGCAATGACTTTAGATTTTCGTAGGAGCAGTGAATATCACTTATTTGGGAAAATTTTGTTTAATTCTTCGACAAGCAGTTAGAGCTAGTTCGACTAAAGTAGTAAAATATACCTATAGTTAATAATGAAATCAAGACCAGCATTATGGAAATGACAAGGGCAAGAGGCCTATTGTGGGATCTAGAGGACACAACAGTAGGGTAAGAATATTTACCATCAACAACAAAGATATTATAAGAAGATAGCACAACATGATTTGATAGCGTTGCAGCAGCGCATAATTCGGGACACATGATACAATTATAATAAGACCAGACATAGAGCGAAGGATTGTCGCAGTACACCAGCAGGAGACCAGCATGACAGAGGTCAGGGTTAATAGTCTTAGGGCCGCGGTTACGTCCAGCATCGGAGGATAGATGTACTACCGTTTTTTTCCCAAGGATTTAGGAGCCAATAGGCCATAATTACGCTATTCAGAGTATTCATCAGTGTCAGATGGACCCATGTGTTTCACCACCAGCAGCGCAGCAGGCGCCGGCCACCAGTAGAGTTTATGTAGTCGTGTCATGTGATCATAGTGCGAACAGAGTTTTTGTAGTAATTTCTTATCCAGCTCGAATCTTGTTTGATTCAGGAACTTCGTATTCTTTCATATCTCATGCCTTCATGTATAGGCTTCAGTTAGTTACTCATCCCTTAGATGTTTTGTTATTAGTTTCTACTCCTATAGGGGAGGTGTCCCTATTAGAGAGTATATATAGGAGATGTGTCATCAATATAGATGATTTTGAGTCCATCTTTGACATGGTTGTCTTGTGGATGCCGAATTTTGACATCATTCTTGGTATGAAATAGTTATCATCCTATAATATTAGTATCGACTGTTTTGCTAAAATAGTACGCTTGTGAGCATTTGTTGGGGTTGTATAGATAGTAGCAACCTCATAGGGTAACCAGAATGCAGAGTCATTTCTAGCATGCGTCGAGGTGGTGATGATACGGGATCGGGGTGTAGTTTTGAGCGAGACCGGAGTCGTCTCAGAGTATAAGGATGTCGTTCAGGACATACCTATTTTTCTCCACTGAGAGAGGTTGTTTCCCTGCATCGAGTTGCAGCAGGCACCGCACCGATATTCCGAGCACCCTATCGTGTGGCACCCGTTGAGATGAGGGGGACCCTATCATATCATATGGCACCCGGTGAGATGAGAGAGCTACAGACTCAGCTAGATGAGTTGTTAACTCAGGATTTTATTTGTCGGAGTCATTTATTTTCATGGGAGCACCGGTCCTCTTCGTGGGGAAGAAAGACGGTAGCATGCAATTATGTATAGATTATCGTGAGTTGAACAAGGTCACTTCCTGGATCACGGATCCACTATCGAGGATTTATTACTTGTTCGACTAGTTACGGGGAGCGTAGCACTTCTCGAAGATTGATTTTCCTTCTGGTTATTTCCAGTTACGATTGCGGTAAATGGATATTCCTAAAACCATATTTTCTGACTCGATATGTGTCTTTTGATTCCTTGTCATGTCGTTTGGTCTGACCAATGCATCTGCGGTATTCATGGATTTGATGAACCGGTTTTTTTACATCCATGCTAGGACCAGTTTGTAGTCGTTTTATTGACAACATCATTTTTTTAGATTGGAGGCAAAGCGCGAGTGGCATCCTCTATTAGCATTATGGGCATAGCGGACAGTCGAGATTAGAGTCATCAGTGATACACCGAGTTCAACAAATATGAGTTTTGGATATAAGAGATTAGATTTTTAGGCC